TCATGCACCTGGCATGGTATTTGAAGTGGTTGTCGGCACTTTATATAGGAGTGCATGCTGCCAAATTTGCATGACCGTAAAATTTATGTTACACTGTTGATTACCCTGTGAACAAGTTATAAGGGAACATATGAAAAATAAAATAATTTGCCAGAGAAAATGGCTGTCCACAGGACACCTGGACACCCGCCTGGCTAAAAGTCTGTTTCCCTGCAAGTTCATTGTTTCTTTCCTGCAAGTAAAGTTTCCAAAATATAATGTTTTTCCCAGACTGATAAAAAAAAACAGCTTCATAGCCTGCAGAAGTCAGATGGTTCCAATTTCCCCTTTGTTTTGCTCTTTTTTGCTTTGAACAATAATTGTGTGACAACATACTCCAACACACACATGACACTGTATGGTTGTTGTTTGGTATTTCAAACCTTTTAGATTTAATTTAAGGAGATAGTGACAAGGTGATTACTTAGGGGAGAGGACTAAAAAGCGTTCTTTTTTCCCAAGGAAGTCCTCAGACATTCAATTTTTTGCCACTTTGCGGCTGCTCGCATGCTCCACACTTGCTCTCACATGCTCACATCGCTCTCATGCTCAAAGACAAATAACTCATGAAGAAAAAAAATATCTGTGGACAGAGTACAATAAAGCATATGTTCACTGCTCCTTTAAGAACTTTAAAAGGCAAATCTTCAACATTCTTAAAGTGATTCATTCAATGTGCTCCTCTCCCCTCCTCTTCCTGTCCACACTACATGCTACTTCCCCAGGGCCATTCGGACATAGACATCCCACAGAGAAACATGTGCTCAATTGTTTTACATGTTTGAATAATTTGTCAGGTTATTCATGTAGTCAGTAAAGAACTCAGGATAAAGTTTTCACACTCTAATTTGTAACTTTAGCAAGAATGCATTTTACCCCCACCCACTTAGCTAACGCCAAAAATAAATGAAACAATGACATTTTACCATTTCCTTTGAAACCAACCTTTCAAATTTTCAAAGACAGCCTCTTAGAAAGTCATTACTAACTTTGAGTGTATATTTTCTGTTTGTTGCTTAGATCTTTAAAGCCTACCAACAAATGGTTACAGGTAGTACACCAAAAGCACACAATCAAGGACAGGAAAAAAATTCAGAAAAAAGCAGTTCGAAAGCCAGAGATGAGATGCCTTCAGTTTGTACTTCAACCAATGAAACTACCAGTGATAATGTGAGTTGTTACATATGCATGGCTGTACATACCAGTGAAGCAAGGGGTGAAAGGTTTTTTTTTATGGATGGATTTGGCATGTATATTTGCGACTTTTGCATCAAATTAAATGAATTTGTGGATTTCAAAAATACAGCAGATTGCAGATCAGCTGTGAATTTTATCACCACTCACATCCACGAATTGCTCTCACATGGGTACCTGAAGGCAAACGGAAACGGGGTCGACCGCGTGAGACTTGGAGAAGGACTGTAGAAAGGGAGCTGGAAAAGGAAGGTTTAAGAACATGGGCAGCAGCAGCATCGGCTGCGGAGGACAGAACAGCCTGGAGGCAGAGAGCTTACGGCCCAATTCTCCACTTGGAGAACGGATAAATGATGATTTGCGACTTTTGCATCAAATTAAATGAATTTGTGGATTTCAAAAATACAGCAGATTGCAGATCAGCTGTGAATTTTGTCCCAAAATCTGTAGTCTACCTGTCATAAAGTTCAGACTGTGGGTCCTAAATGAGGTTCTGATCATAGATCTTCGGTTGACCTGGCCAGCCTTGGTTGATATGTTGGTGTTTTATCCACTATTAATACAATTCAAATAGCAATGTTGCCTTCTGTGAAGGCAACATTTGTTGATAGAGAGCTAAAATATGTTATCTTCAGTTGATAGAACTTTTCAGTATGTTGGCTCAGCCACTGATTTCAGTTTTATCAAATCCTTCACTGGAAATGTAAAGCAAAAGAAGAGCACCACATGAAGTTTATTCTTTCAAACCATCCATGTGCATCTGTCCACATGTCACCTCTTTTTTCTGTCAAACATTTGTATATTCATATGTCGGTTTAAATATTCCAATAAATGGAATCATTTATTTTTTAACACTTCTTGTTTTAATTAATGACTGCAAGGGAAATATCCACAGATGCCAGGATTCCAATGTGATACATGTGCCTCTATCAGTGGTCTTCAACACTGTGTAAAATCAGTTGCTAATTAGGTAGAGGTGGGGTATGAGGTGTTTGGCATCTTGTGTCAGTGGAGTCTAGAATATCAAAAGGATCTAGCAGAGAGCATCAGCTATATGACTATCTTGGTGCCTTCAGTAAGGCTTAACAGCCACCAGAACTTCTGAATTGTGAATTGTCGGCTACAGTGTCAATTCAGTTTGATTTCAAAAATGCCCAAAGTTATAGAGGAAGTTTTTATGCACCTCTTTTTTTACTCTCTGTAGGGTGCTGCACTAGGGATGCTATCTACTTCAAATTTTATTGAAAGAATTGCATTATTTTAAAAGACCTGATGATTTTTTTCAGTGTATTTGGAACCTAAATTTGCCATGAACCTAACTGATGACATGCAGGAGCCTAATTATTAGCATGTAGTTCAGATAGTACTCTTACACATGCATGAAGCAGCAAAGATAAATCAATACTACATCACTTGCAGGCTGGTCCATCAGTTGTCATGCCTGTAGACCCATCAGGTGTACCTCCAGTGGTCACTTCACTTGAAGTAGAAACATCAGCCTGTACTGACCAGGTGGAAGCCACTTGCAGTGCAAGTACAAGCTCAGCATCAAGTCCTTCTCTTGCCAGGTGCGCAATGAGAGAAATCATCACTACATGTATACCCCAAGATTATAGCATTTATTGATTGCTTAATTATGCATTTGACACATTCACTGAACTTGGTTATTTTAAAACATTTGGGATGACGGTTGGCTGCATCTACAGTGTAGTGTCATATTGTTTGAGCTGACATTGTAAGATATGTCCTAAATTAACTAACTACAGTGCATGTATGATCCAACAACAAGACATTTTATGATGATCTTCTTTTATGATTATTCTCCTTTCATGCCAAGTGCATCTCAAGTGTATTCTTTGTCAGTTAAAAGAATACTCAAGAATTAAGCACAATATTTTGTACTTTAGTTCCTCTCAACCAAAGGAAGATATCAAAACCAGTGAGAGCAAAGGGCTTATTCCTGGCAAGTCAGCTGATTGTTACAATGGAGCTGTTCTTGATAGATATTCTTGGTCACAAACCATAAAAGATATTGAAGTAAAAATTCCAGTGCCAAGTTCAGTAATAAAGGGTCGTGATGTTGGTGTGGAAATTAAGAGTTCCCATTTGAAAGTTTGGTTAAAAAGAGGTGCCTCTTCTGAGTCAGGTACAGTACTTTAGTGTCAAGGCTAGGTTATTGTCGTTCGCATCTCAAATGCCTGCTGACATAAATGAATAAATTATAAACAATGGAAATTTTTTTCTGTCTATGTACTACTAAACAGGTGATGCTATCCAGTCTTATTTCCAAAAAGTGTCACTTCCAGAAGATTGCCTATAAAAATGTAGAGTTTTAAGTCAAGTTCTTGCCAGTGTAAGCAATCTTGCCTTTTATCCCTCCCCCCTGCTCCCCCCTACTGTCAAACTATCATTTCTGATTCTGAGTGTGACTGATACTTGAATATTACTGAACTGTCCTTGAAAAGTCCTTGTCTTGGAGAAGAGGTCATCTGTATTCCAGCATAGGAGTGACTGTGTTGTTAACATTGAAAACAGATCTCTATAATGGTGCATAACGATATATTTTCACCTTTTCCTGAAGCAATATTTTTTTTACTTTGTTACTCTCAGGGGACAATGTTCTTATTGATGGAAAACTTCAGTGGTCAGTAAAATGTGAAGATTCCATGTGGTTACTTGAAGGTGGTAAGCATATCATTGTTAATTTGGACAAAACAGAGGAAAGGTTTTGGACAGCTGTTCTTGAAGGAGATGCAGAAATAGACAAGACCAAGGTTGATACAACTCGAGACATCAGTGATTTTGATGAACAAACACAGAGTGATTTTCAGCATGTAATGTACGACCACCATCAAAAGCTGCAGGGAAAACCAACCAGTCAGGAAATGGTAAGTGTTCAAAGTGTTTTAGAGTAATGCACTGTTTCTTTAGAAGACTATGTTTGACTTGCATCCACAGACGTGCAAATCCAGTAGAGCTAATTTTTTCCTTGGCCAGCAAGGATCACCTTTTAGAAAAGGATAACTATTGGGGAAGAAGGTTATCCTTCACGTCCCAGGGACAACTTCTCCCCGTTGAAATAGGCCTGCACTTGTAGCTGTCAGTTTGCAGTCAAGTGGTCAACTAAATTACATACTTAGGTTAGTGGGCAATTCTGCTCTTTGTTGACTGTGATTATCTTCTCTTGACTCAGAAAACTCATGAGCTTCTGAAGCAAGCATGGAATGCCAAGGGATCACCTTTTGCTGGCACAGAGTTTGATCCATCAAAAGTCAATATATCACCAAGCTATGGGTGAATGCTGTTTGTTACTCTAATGTGTAATGTTCCAGTCATTGTTATGGTAAGTTAAATGCTTGTGTTAAAGAATAAAAAGAGGACAAGCTACTCTACATGTAGTTTTGTAGATTTTTGAGAACTGCGTGTATATCCAAGCAGACAAATATAAATGGAACTACATACTAAGCTTTAAAACGTTGCCTGTCAATTTGCAAGACTTGGTTTTGTATCTCAGTTGTGTGTTTGTCGTAGAAAATTTCGGAAATTTTACCAGTTATGTCAGTACCTCAGAGATTGGATTAAGCTGGAAAACCATTTAAATTGGAGACAGTTTGCCTACTGTTGTACGTTATATTTATTAACAGAAACAAACTTCGCCCATTAAATTTAAAAGTCAAACAAAAAAAAAACTCGCGTATTTGCCTGGTTTGTTGTTTTTGTTGAGTTAGTCGGTAATTGGACGGAGACCGTCAATGCACACGCTTGCAATTCTGTGCTTTTATTTGAAGGTGCAAAATTGGTTAGATAATAAATTTTTCATTAAATTGCTGTGTGTAGTATTGTTGTAAATTTATAATAGTTTCTTGAATGGCGACTCATCACAGGCTATTTTCGACTCAGATTTACTGAAAGGAGGGTTTGTATTAAGTACTCTCAAATTTTCCTTAGCTTTCCAATGTGTGTGCGTAAGCCAATTTAAACAAGAAGCCGCTTTTATTAAACTTATGAAACCTGACATTGGAACAAACTGTATGTGGAGCGTTACCTCACGGTACACTGATTTTCTCGTCAGATGATAGCTAATCACTCAGCGTCCATCAATACAAGTCAATTATTCTGTCGATCGTCAGCTTAATTTAAGAATTTTATCATTTATGTTCATTTCTTGCCCATTTCTCGCTTTTTCGATATAAACAGAACTATCGAAAAGGTTTTACGGAACCCTGCAAGTCGCGAAAACAGCGCGTCGCTTATAGTTGTAAAATAAAATCATAAGGGTTGCGTGGGAATTCCACGGAAAAATTCCGTGAAAAAAATAAAGAGGTGAGATAAGAATTCTGCTATTACAAGACTGCTCAACAATGCTTTGAGTTCTAAGTTTTTATAACTGAACCCAGCAAAGTGTTACGTTACATCATCTACATCGCCTCATGCAAACACGACTACACTAACAAAGAATTACTTTCAATTATCGTCGGTCAACTAAACTAAGTTCCTCTGATACATTGAAACAGTTTCAGTAACAGAACTTATCTCATGAATAACTATGCATGACAGTTTACGTTTGTCACGAGAAGTTAAGTTGCAAGCTTAGTTAATTGTTTTAATTTAAATATTGCAGGAGAAGTTAGCCATGAGTCCTTTTACTGTGAACAGTTCACACTGTAGAATGCATACTGAGGGCGTTTCCATTATTTTCAGCATCCTTATATTGTTCCAGCTTTTCACGGTACTTGTTAAACAAAGTTTGCACTTCACTTATCATTTCCTTTTCCAGTTGATCAAGTGGTGTCTTCTCCTCAGGTTCTGTCATAGGTATGTCCTCTGTAAGCTTTTTTCCTGCAATACAAAAATTTGATTCAAAAGTTGCATATTTACTTGGCGTGGATAGTCCCGATAACGGTTCGGTGATCTATTCTAAAAGGCAATTCTCCAATAAGTTTTATCTTAATTAAGTTTAAATGATTGAATGGGCAAAATGCTGCCGTCCTGTACTGTTTCTAACTGCACACAATAAAGCTATCTGTTTCAGTTTACAAAGATTTAGCAACTATATTTAAATTTAACTAACTCGTGGATTTTAGACTAAGTTTTGTGATGTCAACTAAAACCTCTATACAGTTTCTCGCAACTTTTCGTCGATTCCCTTGTTCTTATTGCCCCTACTGAGCAAGGGCGTAGCCAGGGGGGTCCTGGGGAGCCCGTGACCCCCCCTTTTGTACGTCTTAAAGTAAACAACCTACAACAGGTGTCGAAAACGCCATGACAATCTGGTGAGTACCCTCACTTTGAAACAGTGTGAGCCCCCTTTGAAAAATTCTGGCTACGCCCCTGCTGAGCAGTTACGTCGAGGTATATAATTGGAGTTTCGCAGGTTTCGTAGTTGAATTTGCGGTAAAAGATCGAAAATCGCCTAGCGACCAGAAATGCTGTTAAAGTCTAACGTTCCCTTGTGAAAAGGGATCATGTACTAAGGCACGTCACGGATGTGAATAAAGTTAATACGCGGTCTTTTTCTGAGGTTTCCTCATCGATTCACTGGTCTCTTTCACGACAATGTTATTGTCGTGAAAGCGAACAATGACATGAGCGAGCATCATGACTAATGTCATGACGTTTAGCAGAAAACCCGCGAAAAATCACTCTTTCTTAGAAATTCGAAAGGTACCAGTCAGTGTTAACTAAATAAAGCACACGTAGATCTATAGCAGTGCACTGTTTCATTTTTCATCTATTACTTTCTTACCAGATTAGCTCACCTTAAATGCGTATTTTTTTTTTTAGAATTCTGAGCATTTACAAGCGGCAATAAGGGCTCTTACAAGCGGTAAATTTTACCGGTTACCGCCTGATAAGGAGAACCCTGCAATGACCGCTTTTTCGCTTCAGTAACAGGAAGAAAAAGACATCTGCTGGACCAGGGTATAATAATAATAAGAAAATAAATGAAATGACTTGCCTTTCTTCCACGTACATCGGCCCGGTCTGAAGTAAAACAGCTCGGCCAATAAGCCAACTAAGAAAATGACGGCCACTAACGCCAGGCAGGTGTACAGTGAAGGAAAAAACAGATCACCAGTTGGATCAAAGATACTCTGAGAGTTCTGTACCGCCTCATCTCCTCCTCCCTGCAAACAGCAAACAAGACAGTTACATCGCTATCTTCAAAACTAATTGACACGAGATTTACTCTATGCTGACAAAATCATCTGTTTTGATTGTCGTGACTTCCGGAATTCTCTATTTTCCAATTGCCCATAATTCACTCTGTTTGCCCCCCAAATTTTGCATCAACTATTGTTGTGACGGAAATGCTCTTGGGAATATGTAGACCTCCCAAGAGAATTCCACAACAATAGTTTATGCAAAATTTGGGGGGGCAAACAGAGTGAATTATGGGCAATTGGAAAATAGAGAATAGCTTTTTGCTTGAACATTTCAACTGAAAGCCGGTTTAATTTCCCAGTACAACAGAATTACAGTTAAACAATTATGGACTGACGGACGGACTGACTGACTGACTGACTGACTGACTGACAGATTGACAGACTGACGAACGGACTGACGGACGGAATGATGAACAAACTGACCGACGGACGGACGGACTGTCTGACTGACTTAAACAGATAAACATATATTCACCTTTAGTGTTTTAGTAAGTTCCTTTCTTGTGAAGTCATAGAGCAGGTACTTGTCTTCGGCAATCAAATTTCTAAAGCACTTTTCTAGATGACTATCGTTCACTACAGCGCCATAGGAAAGCGTATCCTCTTTAAGGATTTGGTCTGTTTTGAACTCACTGTTTGGAAACAAGCTGTCCGTATAGTGACTTATTTGGTAATTGTCCAAGAGAACACCTGAAGTAGTGCAGCAGAACTAGTTAGAACGAAATATTTAATCAATCCGCGTTAATCATCTCCCTCAGTAAATTAACAAGATTGTACACACCAATGAAGTCGTGTTATTTAAAATAATCATTTATATCAGGTAAACAAAAGCGGCTTGCATATGACATAAACAGTCGTCTGCGACCACAACCATTGATGCTACTCTGTATAAAGCTGTTCTTATACCTAACTGTACACCTTCGGTTTCGGTACCCGGCATAGCAAGACTAAACGTGCCTAACACACACGGCCAAAGAGAACTAAATTAGGTATTTCATGCACCGTACCCAGAGTGGGCCAAAAGTCCGGTCGTATTAGGTTATTGACTTGATATCACAGGTTACGAGTACATTTAGGCTCGGCATCTGATTGGCTTATTGGAGAACTGGGTGCGGTAATTACAACTAGCAGTCCAGCACGTTACCTTCAATGTCTCCTTTACCCAAGGCTTGTCTCATTTCCTCAACGGAATTGTAGACTGAAAAGGAAAGGCTTTAACTTATGAACGATTTAAAATTACTGGGAATCAAAGCCAAACAAAATGAATAGTACAATAATGAAAACAAAACTAAGCATAATATACATTAAAGCTATACTAGACACGGACTTAATTCTCTCTTGTTACAGGGGAATCGGAGGTAGCCGCTTAATAAGAGCTCGTCAAGATTTCGTATTAAATTTTGGTTGGCCGCTTAATAGGGGTAAAGACAATAGAAAAACCCTAAACGAGATGACCAAACGGTGACCGCGGCCGCTCACAGTAATAGAGGTGGCTGGTCAATAGGGGTTTTATTTACAGTATTTTACAACAATTTCGGGACTTATAACTGGCGACTTTATAAGGCACGGCCGGTTAATAGAGGTTAGTCTGTATTTCGAAATTCTTTCGTCTTAACATGTCGCATAGTGCATGCAGACTTGTGAAATATTGAGTGTTGCAGCAAATTGTATATACCTTTGTACGTGTGGTATTTATGCAAGTTAACTGTTCAGCCTGAGTAAAACATGTTTTAAAACTTTTCTTTCATCACTTACGTGTCACATCAGCTTGTTGTTGCATTCCTATTGCCAATTCTATCGAGCGTTTTAGAACGCCCACCTGAAAAAGGCACACAGAAATAGACAATTATTATCGTACGCAGATTCGCACTGAATTAGCCAATCAGAGGCCGTGTCTGCTATCCTGATATCCTTCGATATCAAGTCAGTGATCTGTTATACCAGATTTATCTCCCCATTATGGTAAATTGAAATACCTTATTCCACAACCATAGCTAAGTTTTATGAGAGGGTCAATAGTTAGCTAAAATCGGCCAATCAGGTTGCTCTATTGCCAGTCCAAATTTTCTAAGTATTGGACCGGAAACTGTGCCAAATGTTCCTGTGAGATCATTCTTAAAAGTGCTCTTGTACCTTCATGGCTTACTTTTCTAACGGAATTAATTTCCACGTTAAAGATTCTTTTTCTTTAAACTTTCTTTGTCTTTTTTTGGAAAACGTCAAACGTAAGAGGACGTCAAGTTGGCTGGCGATGAGAACTAGAATTTGGATACGAGTAATACCGAATAATTCGTGCATACTAGTAATTCGTGTAATTTCGTATATACGAGTAATTCATGTCTTGGTGCGATTCATCGGCATAACAGGCTCGTGTGGTCTCGCCAAGGGTATTTTAGATTATCCACTTCTCGCCAACCATATAGCTCGGCCAAATTCGTCTGATGTAGTAGGTTTCAATAACTAGAATATAACAGATATAAACTATTCTTTTATTCTGGTTTCTATTCTGGCTATCATCAGAAAAGAAATGTAAGGTCAGCTTGGGATATTCCATTTTTCGTCACCCTACCCCTGTGAAAACGGACGTTAAATTTTGTTAATAGTAATGGTTTGATTAAACCATTCATGTATGTGGATTAAATAACTACCTTTGATCCTGGAAGGCTTTTTTTGGTGTCCAAGCTTATTGTTGTCAGTGATGTTGTTAACGTAGCGGTGAATATTGAACAAATGCAGATTCCAACTAAAATCCAGGCCACTGCAAAGGTTCGTCCAAGGACTGATATGGGTGCACGGTCACCATATCTGCATGTTTTAAACAGGAAATAAAAATTAAAGCTTTTAGTGCATACGCTTTCAACAAAGGTGGTATAGACCATTAAGACGATTCCTTAGAAATAACACTTGACGTTAGATTTTTTTCAATTGTTTTGTGGTGGTTCCTAATAATGCAGGTATTCGAAATGTGCGATAAAGAACATATGGCACGGTGCTCGTTTAAGAGTCATAACTTGTCAAAGGTGCATCAAAAATCTGTGCAATGGTACCCATTAAGTGCGTTTTTCTTTTTCTGAATGCCGCTTACGCTTCGGTTAAACACATGGAGTTAATATTAAAAAGTCTCAATAGATACATTGCATCGTCTTAAAGGAACAATTTGATATGTGTTTCTTGGCAAATACCTACATCTTGGACCAGAGTTGACAAAAAGTCTTTCTAGCGTGCGTCTTCTAGGGGTGGTAAGGTTCAGGTCACGAGTGAAAGGGTAAGTAAACATTTTTGGCAGTGATTTTGTTACCTGACGTTAAAATTTTTTCTTACTCATTCATTGGAAAGGCAATGAATTATAGACTAATTTAATGCAATAAAAAAGGTACCTTACGGTGCTTGTTTAAGAGAAAACAAGCATTTATTTCGCTGTCGAGCTTAATTTGATGGAAATCTCTTACGTTGTGTGTGTGCACGCGCTCATGTGCGCGCGCTAATGACGCGAAAATCGTGCGCAGTAGGGATGCGCAATGCAATACTAAGAAATCACCTTAAAAAAAACTTGTTACTATTCTCCAATAAAAAAGTGCTTGACCGAGCTGTGATCAGTTGTCAAGCAAGCAAAGCAACGATAGTTTGAAAGAAATGTAGGAGAGTGTATCTCTGTATCAGCGACTTCATTTGTGATTTTATACTACTACTAGTTACTAAACTAAGGGGAAACTGCTATAGGGATTGTGCTGAATTTATGACTTAGCACCTTTAGTGACCCACGAAACGCAGTCAGAGTAGAACGAAATGCAGTCAGATTAGAACAGCAGGCTAAAGATACTGAAGATATTATGTGAATTGCTGACAGTTCCCTGTAACAAGCTTTCGGCGATTTTGGCAAAGTCGCAAAACCTCATGCACGCCGGCAACTCAGCATCCGATGATAACAATTGGATGTTCTAATATAGTAATTTTTCCTTAAAACTACCAAGCCTCGCGCGAACTACCTTGAAATGTAAAACTACCCGGGACTATTATCGTTATAGGAGCTAGAACGTATTACCCCACTGTTGTCATGGAGACAAACGCCCACCAAAATCCTTCCCAGGAGCCTCTGAAAAAATCGCGAGGGAATTCTTTTTCGTTGAACCAAGTATCCTGAAACAGAATAAGTCAAAAGTGTATTAACCACAAACTTGACTCTCCTAACTTCCATTTTTAACACTTTTCTGACCAAAGCACCTGCGATAGAACAGTGAACTTATCAGAAAAAGTAAGCTCCCCTAAACTAATATGGTGATAGCCTCCTGTTGGTTTTTACTTCCACAGTTATTGACAAACTCAGTAATTATGACCTGTGAAGTGCAGCAATAGAAAATCTTAGTGGGATACATTTTGGAAGAAATGCCATCCTATGTTATAATATTTGCGCCTTCAAAATCCCCCTTAATCTTCATTCCTAAATGTTTTTAAAGGTTAGTACTCCAGCACACAATAAATAAGAGAGAATTAGAAGAATCGTGCAATGCCACTCACCAAAAGCCACAGAAAAACGCCCGCCAAAATTGAAAGCAGGATAGTCAGAATCAACACTGGCCAAGCTTCAAATACAGACATCAAGAGCTTCTTTGGGTAACTCTCCCGCTTTCCTTTAGGAACAACAAACGCTATACTGGCAGGGGGTACGAGGCTGATCATGTTAAGCTTCTCATTTGTTGCCTCCTGCTTGTCGACTATCACTGGGAAAATCACGTGCGAGTCACGTGCCTTGCGGAGAAGCTGTTCGGGATCAGTCTCTGGCGGTTCGTATATAACTTCCCAACAGTTTAAGCTGTAGTTACCACAACAGTTGCTCAACATGAGTCTTAACAAAGCTGCAAAAGAACAGACAAGTGGATAAACATGAGACATTTGCGACCCAGTTCATCTTGGTGCTCACCGTATTTAGAGAGTCTTGATGACGGTGTTGGCGTCTCAATTATCAGGTCCATTTTCACCAATGTCTCAGCTATCTGTTAATATTTCATCTCATTTCTCAGCTATTCTGCAGACCTTAGATCTCAGGTATCAGTTAAAAAACGCGTCATTTAACAGCTGCCAGTTAAAATGTTGACCAATTCTGGGTGGAGTCTCACCCTCTTTTACAAAGAGATGATCGAAGACTCGGCGTGCGCATGCGCAAGCTGTAACGTTTAACCAAGAGATGACCAAGGTACTTACCTTGATTTTCTTTTCTGTTATATCATTGGATGCTATTGTTTATTAGCTCATGATATTCATGATATTTAGGATATTCCTTTATCGATCTCGCGATCAGTCTCAAGAAATGGCGAAAGAAGTGGATTTCTCCTTAGGATTCTATTTTTATGTTCTTATTCCCATGCTCTACTCAGTTTTACTGTCAATAAATAAACCAATCGGACGACAGTTAATACCTAGTGCGTGTGGACGAGTAAACCCTTTAGGCGACTGCATGATGAATTCGATGCTCATTACTAAATTTGACCGCATTTTCTTTGTAAATCTGTTGACAAATTCCTTGAAATTTGAACATAAGTCATTCTTAGATAATTTAAGATTCAACGGTTGAAACAGATGAAAACTGGGTGTTTTCTTTTTTTCGGTGCTGATACTTTAACAGTAGCAGCGCCGAAAAAAACAGTCAAATTAGAGACCTTTAGATCCACGTTTACTGCAAACTTCTGACTGCGGTTTGAGGTTAGAAGTTTGCCGTTCGGACGTTAGTCAATTTAGACTGGAGTAAACTGTAGCGGATATAAATCATCCTGTCAATACATTGGAAATTATCAAAATAACGCCAAAAAAAGTGAATAAAAATGGTACGTTTTCTAGAATGTACAGCTTTCCTAGGAAATAAAGCATCATAAAACACACATTCAACTTAAGCCGCCGCCATATTGGATTTCCAGTTAGGATCAGTGCCTTTCTACAAACGACAACAAAAGGCTAGGTAACTGCTTATTTTCCTAAAAACTATAACCAAAGTTGTAGAAAAAGAGTTACTTTACGTGGTATGAAATAAAATTCAAGGCAATAAAGGTTGAGGTAAATGGCTTACGTGAAAACCTACTTCTTGACGTTCAAAACGGGGGTAAGTACTTGGTGTAAGCTAACTACGGCATAAGGATGTCTAAGTGCGGCTAAGGATGTCTAAGTATGTCTACGTACGCCTAAGGATGGCTAAGTACGGCTAAGGATGTCTAAGTACGGCTAAGGATGTCTAAGTACGGCTAAGGATGTCGAAGTATGTTTACGTACGCCTAAGGTGACTAACGGTCTCTAAGAATGTTTAGATGCAGCTAAGGACCCCTATGTATAAGTGTAAACGCCCAGACCATTACGTGAGTGCCTACATCAAGTAGTTACCAAAACTCTCCCGAACGTCTGGTTCTGGTCACGTGACCCCTAGCCGTTTGTCGTTATCTAAAAAGTCTTAATATCGTAAACAACTGAGGTAGATTTACCTTTATTTTGAGCTTTAACATGGACATTACTCGATATCAGTTTACGATATTAAGACTCTTTAATATTCCCATTTATTATATGGTCGTGTGTACAGACCTCACTGCGTTCGGTCTGTACTCCCGACCTCGGTCAAGATTCTCCCATACAGACCTCCTGCTCGGTTAATAAAAGCTAAAAATTTCTTTATATTTCGAACATACAAACAGACACGCCGCTTGTATGGGCCGCCTGTGTCTAAATCCACTTCCATTTAGACTCCTTTAAGAACCTGTTTTAGCCTAAGATTTGAATCGAGGTCTTGTTTTCTGGTCATTTTTAAAAAAAAAAAAAAACGTTAGAATTCGTAAATCAAAAAAATATAGAATAGGATTTGTATTTGTTTAGACTGCAGTCATTAAGACATGACTGTGCATATTTTAGGTAAACAATAGCAGTACCAATATTCTTTTAGCCACAAAAACATTTTTGTAAAGAAAATAAGAACCTAGAAATAGCCTTATCTCCCAATAAATACCAATATTATCAGAACCTTCTGTGTCTAACGAGGACAAAGACAGGTTCTTATATGAGGGTTTTACTGTGTACGATATCCTCGCGCTATAATTTGCACATGAGCCGAAGCGTGACACTATCCCAAAATCGTGGACTACTTAGTACACTCATTTGTTGATGAGAACTATTTATAAGGTCAAGTCAGTGGAACAATAGAAGGGTCTCACATACACGCTGGGGCGCCGTTTACTTTGTTTATCTAAAACTCAAAATTGTATATTTATTTCTGAGCTTAGTACTCATGCGTGTTGTGGGGTTAAGTAGGTTAACGAGAAGCCGGACTGCTAAGATACAATAAAACCTCGGAATGCATGTCAAAATTTAGAAACATCTACAAGGTTGGAGAAGTAGAAATAGGTTGGAGTAGCCAACAGATAGATTGTAAACAAAGATAATCTGGTATAATACCCGTTTAATCCAAAATGCCATTTTGTTTCTTGAGTTATCTCTCCTGCAGCTCCCTCCCCCGTCATTTTGCAATCCAGGTTACCCCAGTTTGGCCGCACATCGCTTTACACTAAAGAATACATGGTCGCCGTTCAGAAAATGTTTTAGATTACCTGGCAATATTCCTTCAGTAACGTTTTCTCCTTGAAAAGAAAAGGGAGGTCGAATGAGCCATGAAACATCGATGCAAGCCGGACAGATTGCTGGTCCTTGCCGACATGTTCTGCTCGCTGACGATGATGGACATTTGGCTTCGATTTTTTCCAGGTTATAAAACAGTAAAACCAAGAAAACATAACAAGTAAATGTAGCAAATCTGTACATTTTTCGTTTGATGAAGACGATTCGTCAGTGGGTTGAGGTGATATTTCACTCGGACCTGGCGACAGCGATGTTTCTGTGGTTTAGCTTGCTGCTTGGTAGGGGAGAACAAGTCTGCGTTACTTTTCTCAATCCCTTGGGATGCGAAATCTTAGCAATAGTTTTATGCGCTCTGAAAACACAGTAGGGAATGCCTGTTACATGTAATTTATACTGATTGAATGAGCAAATACAAAAAAGAACGGCGAGATTCGGTTGAATACATCAAAAAAATGCGTTGAGCCGAGACGACAGTAAACAGACACGCAGCATAATTTACGCTCTAGTCTGTCACGCAAATAATGGAAAGGGGACGAGAGACTTGAATGCAACAACGAAACCGGAAAAAAGAGAGCAAATACCGCAATGTAGTGTAGTGCCTGGGTAAGTGGCGCTGTCGATAATGTGAAGACTAAAAGTGAGGAAAAAACGAGCGACATAGCGCGAAAACTACGGCACTTCATTTCCAAATGGTTGTTCAAACAATCAAACTGCATATTTAAACTACAATTCAATCATATACTTTCACAAGCGCTAGCCTGCGTGGCAACCATTTATAAGGGTATCACCATAACAACACATGGTTAAACTAAAGAAACATAATAGCTTACTAAATAAAATAAAATAAAATAAAATAAAATAAAAACAGAACTTATTTTACAAACGAAATTTCTTGTCTAAGGGGCATTGCTTGGAAAATAAAAGCAACTGAGTTGATCGACATACAGTAGAATCAATGCCATTAATTTTTTTTGCATCAAGATCTATAACTCATAAGAAGACTATGTTGGTTTGTTATTTCATTAAAGAATGTTAAACGTAACCTATCATATAACTGGCATGAGAAAAGAAAGTGTATTTCATTTTCAACCTCATTTGAATGACAGAAAAAAGCATAGTCTCAAATTTCTAGGAGTCTTCAGTCGGTATTGTGTGTCTACCTGTTTCAATACCTGATTTATGATTCCTTAATCGAAATTTGTTAATAGCGATTCTGTGATGAGGATTGTTAAACACATCGATGGAAATAGATTTTTGGTATCTCTCCTAAAAGAAGCGTAAAAATTAAATTTTCTGTTTGCGTCAATTAATTTTAACTGAGGGGCTGTTCACGCTTTTCTAATGTTTTCTTTAATGTGGGAAGTAAAGCGTTTTTCGTTATTTTCATTTGAAGTGATAGAACTCGAATTGTACGTGATGCGAAGTTGAACAATTTTTTGCATCATACCTGTCTGGTTTTTATCAGCCATCTCCTTAGAGAGACGTGGTTTGACGATATTATTTTGTGGCAAACTTTGAAGATGAATCCAGAATTTTTTTATGGAAGTTTCAAAGGCCAATTTTATAGGTAGTCTACCAAGCTCATTTCTGGTTGCAACGTTTAGGCATTGTATATTTACCCCAAGAATTCGAAATTGTTTGCAAAAATATATGTTTTTTCAATATCATCTTTCTCCCAAGTTTTAGCATCCTCTTTATCATATAAACTCCAGACTTCTGAACCGTACACTGAGAAGAATAGGAAGACAAAGAGATGATCAAAAAGTTTATATTACGGTGACATCGAGGGATAATTTTGACAAATCTAAGTAACGACGAGTAGCAAAGATGAATCTTCTTGTTTTATCGTGATTGTGACAATCACGAAAATTGCTTTTTGCAGAAAAATTAATTCCAAGGAAAGTATAATTAATGACAAATCGATTAAAATTAATTCCAAGGAAAGTATAATTAATGACAAATCGATTTTATCATCGTTTATTTCAAAGTAATATTTGTCAAGGGATGATTTCCCACATTTCTTTTGAAAGATCACAACTTTTGTTTTCTAGAGCATCCAATCGTTACAATATTTTGCGAGAATGGAATGTGCCTTTTCTAGGCCTTTAGCTGAGTGAGAGACTAACACTAAATCGTCCATATACAATAAACAGTTTCAATTTGAGCCGTTAGCTTATGTGATGGGATCTGTGTCTTCTCGGTCTAGTAAAAAGGGATTTCATTTTTTAAGTGACATATTGAATAAAATGGGCGAACAAATACAGCCTTCCCGTACACCTTTCTGGTAGTCAAAAAATTCTGTCCCCACGCATAAAAACACTAAATGTGACAGAGATCTACACCAGAAACCAACTGAAAGCATTAACAGCAGAAAAATGCAATTGAACAAATGACGGGTGTTGCATAGCCAAACCCAGCTGGGAGTCAGCATCTCGAGTAGAGAGCCGGGTTTCCGTCGCCAAAGGAGAAGAGACCGAGAGAGACCTGGCGACGGACAATAGGAAAGGAGATGCTGGCGGACAGAGCGACTCCTGAAAATGTAACTTTTTTCACGCTATGAGCGTGCATGAGTTTGATTTCATTGCTCGCTAAGTTATAAGCCAGGTTTCGCCGTAGGGGGTTTATTAGAGAGCAACGCACTACTTGGGAATGAAAGAGTAGGCGCTGATCAAGTTGAATAAATCTATGACGTTATTCCTCTGTGCTTTTTGGAGAGCAGTAAAGATTATAGCTTTGAGTTAGCAACTGAGTTAGGTTAGAGGGCCAATAGCTAAAATCGACCAGTCAGATCAGTTGTTCCATTGCCGGTGCAATATTTCCTAAGTATTGGACTGTGCACTGTCCCCGAATGATCCCTCTCCGCCACTAATGACGATTTTCTGGTTGATTTTTGTGGCTTACTCAGTTACCAAAAGAATAAAATTACCCCTTACAATTTTTTTTCTTTTTCTTCTAATTAATTTCCTTTTCTTTCCTTTCTGTTGAGATCGTCAAATGCGAGCGTAAAACATCAATTCTAATCTCAGAATTGCGCTCTGGTCTTGTTTTGGTGTTTTTCCAGTCCGTGATCATGAGATTTTTGCTGAACCTTTTCAGTCATGTAGTAATTATCTGCAAATAGGACTAAGCGTACGCGTAAGTTTTTTGGGCGTTTTTAAAAATAATAAAAATAAATAACTTTACTTAAGTGTCAACTGTATTTAGCACTCTTGTGCTAATTGCGGACACTGTAAATAATGAAACAAATACATGTAGAACATAAACTATTAAAAATCCCAATTGGTGAGAGGCCGGCTGTTTGCACAACGCGGTGGCGGAGTTGAACTCGGGAATACCGAGTTCAAATCCAGGCGGCAGGGTGGATGATTTGAACCAGGGACCTCCAGATTTCAAATTCAGCGCCCCGAACCACTTGAATCCACGCCGCCTCCAGTTTTCTATAATTTGGGCGCGTTTTTAATTAAACAATTATTCCACGCGCGCTTCTTGGATGTGAGATGATCAAAGCCAAATCGGTGCTACGCGCCTCGTTGGCTATCTATCATCTCCAGGAGCCCAGGGGCTCCTTTTATCTCATATTCAACGCGCGCTCATGGAATAATTGTTACTGTAAATATGTAAAATAGCAACTCAGTATTAATTTTAGACGTGCAAACTAAGCAGTGAGTTTTCCCGTATTCGGGTACGTTCCGCGTTATATTTCGGCGACAAACAGCAGGTGAAATCCTGCTTGCAATTTACTGTTTTTTGAGACTGAATTGAAATGAATGATGAATCATTGAATGATGAATGATCGAGATGGAAATGAATGATGTGGTGGCAAGACCGGAGAACTTTTACACAGAAAGCTATTGATATTATTTTGAAGTTATTATTTTCAACTTAGTTTTTATGGTCACTTTGCTGACTGGAATTTTTTTAGCTTAGCGAATTAGCAGGGAACTTTTTTAGCCACAAACCGGTGCGTGGCTTATTTCTTAATTGCTTACAGTTCTCTGAAGTAATTAATTGCTTATAGCTGCGCCTTGAGTGCTTCAGTGCACGAAACACACACACCCAAAAAAACTATTTAGCAAAATTGAACTGAATACCACGAACAAAAAAATTTAAATATGACTTCATTAAACTTTCATCAGGTGAGATTGTTATTTTTTGTTTCAAATAACATAAATAGACATAACACTATAAACAAATCAATCACGGTACAGTGTGAAATGAAACTGACGGGATGTGTGTGAATTGAACTGAATGGGTTACAGCTGTTATCAAATATTAACATCCTCTCTAGCTCGCACCAAATACAACCAACTGTTACCATAACAGTGAGACAGCTTCAATTACTTTCAGGCTGCTTGTGAAAAAAGGTGGGTCTACTAAGATAGAATTAATCTTGGCTCTTATTTGGCTGACAAGACTAAAACCAGTAGATGGGGAACACTTCACNAAAAAAAAAAAAACGTTAGAATTCGTAAATCAAAAAAATATAGAATAGGATTTGTATTTGTTTAGACTGCAGTCATTAAGACATGACTGTGCATATTTTAGGTAAACAATAGCAGTACCAATATTCTTTTAGCCACAAAAACATTTTTGTAAAGAAAATAAGAACCTAGAAATAGCCTTATCTCCCAATAAATACCAATATTATCAGAACCTTCTGTGTCTAACGAGGACAAAGACAGGTTCTTATATGAGGGTTTTACTGTGTACGATATCCTCGCGCTATAATTTGCACATGAGCCGAAGCGTGACACTATCCCAAAATCGTGGACTACTTAGTACACTCATTTGTTGATGAGAACTATTTATAAGGTCAAGTCAGTGGAACAATAGAAGGGTCTCACATACACGCTGGGGCGCCGTTTACTTTGTTTATCTAAAACTCAAAATTGTATATTTATTTCTGAGCTTAGTACTCATGCGTGTTGTGGGGTTAAGTAGGTTAACGAGAAGCCGGACTGCTAAGATACAATAAAACCTCGGAATGCATGTCAAAATTTAGAAACATCTACAAGGTTGGAGAAGTAGAAATAGGTTGGAGTAGCCAACAGATAGATTGTAAACAAAGATAATCTGGTATAATACCCGTTTAATCCAAAATGCCATTTTGTTTCTTGAGTTATCTCTCCTGCAGCTCCCTCCCCCGTCATTTTGCAATCCAGGTTACCCCAGTTTGGCCGCACATCGCTTTACACTAAAGAATACATGGTCGCCGTTCAGAAAATGTTTTAGATTACCTGGCAATATTCCTTCAGTAACGTTTTCTCCTTGAAAAGAAAAGGGAGGTCGAATGAGCCATGAAACATCGATGCAAGCCGGACAGATTGCTGGTCCTTGCCGACATGTTCTGCTCGCTGACGATGATGGACATTTGGCTTCGATTTTTTCCAGGTTATAAAACAGTAAAACCAAGAAAACATAACAAGTAAATGTAGCAAATCTGTACATTTTTCGTTTGATGAAGACGATTCGTCAGTGGGTTGAGGTGATATTTCACTCGGACCTGGCGACAGCGATGTTTCTGTGGTTTAGCTTGCTGCTTGGTAGGGGAGAACAAGTCTGCGTTACTTTTCTCAATCCCTTGGGATGCGAAATCTTAGCAATAGTTTTATGCGCTCTGAAAACACAGTAGGGAATGCCTGTTACATGTAATTTATACTGATTGAATGAGCAAATACAAAAAAGAACGGCGAGATTCGGTTGAATACATCAAAAAAATGCGTTGAGCCGAGACGACAGTAAACAGACACGCAGCATAATTTACGCTCTAGTCTGTCACGCAAATAATGGAAAGGGGACGAGAGACTTGAATGCAACAACGAAACCGGAAAAAAGAGAGCAAATACCGCAATGTAGTGTAGTGCCTGGGTAAGTGGCGCTGTCGATAATGTGAAGACTAAAAGTGAGGAAAAAACGAGCGACATAGCGCGAAAACTACGGCACTTCATTTCCAAATGGTTGTTCAAACAATCAAACTGCATATTTAAACTACAATTCAATCATATACTTTCACAAGCGCTAGCCTGCGTGGCAACCATTTATAAGGGTATCACCATAACAACACATGGTTAAACTAAAGAAACATAATAGCTTACTAAATAAAATAAAATAAAATAAAATAAAATAAAATAAAAACAGAACTTATTTTACAAACGAAATTTCTTGTCTAAGGGGCATTGCTTGGAAAATAAAAGCAACTGAGTTGATCGACATACAGTAGAATCAATGCCATTAATTTTTTTTGCATCAAGATCTATAACTCATAAGAAGACTATGTTGGTTTGTTATTTCATTAAAGAATGTTAAACGTAACCTATCATATAACTGGCATGAGAAAAGAAAGTGTATTTCATTTTCAACCTCATTTGAATGACAGAAAAAAGCATAGTCTCAAATTTCTAGGAGTCTTCAGTCGGTATTGTGTGTCTACCTGTTTCAATACCTGATTTATGATTCCTTAATCGAAATTTGTTAATAGCGATTCTGTGATGAGGATTGTTAAACACATCGATGGAAATAGATTTTTGGTATCTCTCCTAAAAGAAGCGTAAAAATTAAATTTTCTGTTTGCGTCAATTAATTTTAACTGAGGGGCTGTTCACGCTTTTCTAATGTTTTCTTTAATGTGGGAAGTAAAGCGTTTTTCGTTATTTTCATTTGAAGTGATAGAACTCGAATTGTACGTGATGCGAAGTTGAACAATTTTTTGCATCATACCTGTCTGGTTTTTATCAGCCATCTCCTTAGAGAGACGTGGTTTGACGATATTATTTTGTGGCAAACTTTGAAGATGAATCCAGAATTTTTTTATGGAAGTTTCAAAGGCCAATTTTATAGGTAGTCTACCAAGCTCATTTCTGGTTGCAACGTTTAGGCATTGTATATTTACCCCAAGAATTCGAAATTGTTTGCAAAAATATATGTTTTTTCAATATCATCTTTCTCCCAAGTTTTAGCATCCTCTTTATCATATAAACTCCAGACTTCTGAACCGTACACTGAGAAGAATAGGAAGACAAAGAGATGATCAAAAAGTTTATATTACGGTGACATCGAGGGATAATTTTGACAAATCTAAGTAACGACGAGTAGCAAAGATGAATCTTCTTGTTTTATCGTGATTGTGACAATCACGAAAATTGCTTTTTGCAGAAAAATTAATTCCAAGGAAAGTATAATTAATGACAAATCGATTAAAATTAATTCCAAGGAAAGTATAATTAATGACAAATCGATTTTATCATCGTTTATTTCAAAGTAATATTTGTCAAGGGATGATTTCCCACATTTCTTTTGAAAGATCACAACTTTTGTTTTCTAGAGCATCCAATCGTTACAATATTTTGCGAGAATGGAATGTGCCTTTTCTAGGCCTTTAGCTGAGTGAGAGACTAACACTAAATCGTCCATATACAATAAACAGTTTCAATTTGAGCCGTTAGCTTATGTGATGGGATCTGTGTCTTCTCGGTCTAGTAAAAAGGGATTTCATTTTTTAAGTGACATATTGAATAAAATGGGCGAACAAATACAGCCTTCCCGTACACCTTTCTGGTAGTCAAAAAATTCTGTCCCCACGCATAAAAACACTAAATGTGACAGAGATCTACACCAGAAACCAACTGAAAGCATTAACAGCAGAAAAATGCAATTGAACAAATGACGGGTGTTGCATAGCCAAACCCAGCTGGGAGTCAGCATCTCGAGTAGAGAGCCGGGTTTCCGTCGCCAAAGGAGAAGAGACCGAGAGAGACCTGGCGACGGACAATAGGAAAGGAGATGCTGGCGGACAGAGCGACTCCTGAAAATGTAACTTTTTTCACGCTATGAGCGTGCATGAGTTTGATTTCATTGCTCGCTAAGTTATAAGCCAGGTTTCGCCGTAGGGGGTTTATTAGAGAGCAACGCACTACTTGGGAATGAAAGAGTAGGCGCTGATCAAGTTGAATAAATCTATGACGTTATTCCTCTGTGCTTTTTGGAGAGCAGTAAAGATTATAGCTTTGAGTTAGCAACTGAGTTAGGTTAGAGGGCCAATAGCTAAAATCGACCAGTCAGATCAGTTGTTCCATTGCCGGTGCAATATTTCCTAAGTATTGGACTGTGCACTGTCCCCGAATGATCCCTCTCCGCCACTAATGACGATTTTCTGGTTGATTTTTGTGGCTTACTCAGTTACCAAAAGAATAAAATTACCCCTTACAATTTTTTTTCTTTTTCTTCTAATTAATTTCCTTTTCTTTCCTTTCTGTTGAGATCGTCAAATGCGAGCGTAAAACATCAATTCTAATCTCAGAATTGCGCTCTGGTCTTGTTTTGGTGTTTTTCCAGTCCGTGATCATGAGATTTTTGCTGAACCTTTTCAGTCATGTAGTAATTATCTGCAAATAGGACTAAGCGTACGCGTAAGTTTTTTGGGCGTTTTTAAAAATAATAAAAATAAATAACTTTACTTAAGTGTCAACTGTATTTAGCACTCTTGTGCTAATTGCGGACACTGTAAATAATGAAACAAATACATGTAGAACATAAACTATTAAAAATCCCAATTGGTGAGAGGCCGGCTGTTTGCACAACGCGGTGGCGGAGTTGAACTCGGGAATACCGAGTTCAAATCCAGGCGGCAGGGTGGATGATTTGAACCAGGGACCTCCAGATTTCAAATTCAGCGCCCCGAACCACTTGAATCCACGCCGCCTCCAGTTTTCTATAATTTGGGCGCGTTTTTAATTAAACAATTATTCCACGCGCGCTTCTTGGATGTGAGATGATCAAAGCCAAATCGGTGCTACGCGCCTCGTTGGCTATCTATCATCTCCAGGAGCCCAGGGGCTCCTTTTATCTCATATTCAACGCGCGCTCATGGAATAATTGTTACTGTAAATATGTAAAATAGCAACTCAGTATTAATTTTAGACGTGCAAACTAAGCAGTGAGTTTTCCCGTATTCGGGTACGTTCCGCGTTATATTTCGGCGACAAACAGCAGGTGAAATCCTGCTTGCAATTTACTGTTTTTTGAGACTGAATTGAAATGAATGATGAATCATTGAATGATGAATGATCGAGATGGAAATGAATGATGTGGTGGCAAGACCGGAGAACTTTTACACAGAAAGCTATTGATATTATTTTGAAGTTATTATTTTCAACTTAGTTTTTATGGTCACTTTGCTGACTGGAATTTTTTTAGCTTAGCGAATTAGCAGGGAACTTTTTTAGCCACAAACCGGTGCGTGGCTTATTTCTTAATTGCTTACAGTTCTCTGAAGTAATTAATTGCTTATAGCTGCGCCTTGAGTGCTTCAGTGCACGAAACACACACACCCAAAAAAACTATTTAGCAAAATTGAACTGAATACCACGAACAAAAAAATTTAAATATGACTTCATTAAACTTTCATCAGGTGAG